GGGGGGGGTGGGGGGGAGGGAAGAAAGCTGAGTCTATGTAAACATGCTGCATGCTCTCTTGTATTCTGTGTACAGCCTGGGGCAAGCTCGGAGGACCTGTTCTGACTCTCTCCAGTCCTTCCAGAGTAGCAGTGCTCAACCAGTTTGCACTGCTGGGGCAAGGTGGGGAGGCTGACCTTTGCAGTTGGGTTACAATCGTTGCCGTTTATCAATTCTTCTACAATTAAGTAACCTCAGAAGAATGGAAGTTGGTTTATAGGCTTAGAGAGTCCTCTGTTCAGGACTGCAGGTGGGGTTGAGGGATGTCCTTGTTCAGTGCCAGATGGCTGATTTAGGTCCAGATCTTCCTGGTACAGCGGAATGTACAGGCCTTCTCATGTCTGATTCTTGGAACGTGAAAAGGTTTCGTTTGAAATTGTAAATATGTTTGTGCCTTAAATGAACGGGGAGAGAGGGGAAAGGAAGTCTGGAGTGGAAATCTCTGACCCACTGTTTTTTCAGGGGTGAAGGCTCCCAGATAGCCAGGCACGAACTCAATGTAATCAGGAAATAACTTTCCAAGGCAACAGCCTCTACCCCTGGAGTGGGTATTCCTGTACTTCTCCCTTTTCCCCTCCTCTTGTTCTGAGGCTTCCCAGCATTAGTTCCCAGGAGACAGAGGCTGGAGAAGATTCTTGCTAGCCACACATTTGTGTATGTTGTTCCTTAAAAGGTGGGGTGTTTTTGCATGTCGTAGCTGTATGTGCATGTAGAGCTGCTTGATTTGTGTCGTTACTTTTCTGGGGATGGCACTGGGGCAGTTAAATCGTCAGTGAACTATTTTTACCGAGTACCTCAGCCAGTGCCATGAAATCACAGCATCCTTCCTCTTGTGCTGCAGCTCATTGTGAAATACCTGCCCTTCTGGAGGCTTTGACGAGGACAGGATAAAATATACGGCATAGAAACGTGCACCTTTTTCTTTGTGTTCTGATCTTCTGGTTTCAGAGGAGAGCTTGGGACGGAGGGTTTCTTGTGAGATCAAATGTAAAAAATGTTCTACGAAGAAACAACTGTGGCATCTTGTGCCAGAACTTAAGTTATTTCCTGAAAAGAATTTTTTAGAAGTATTGGAATCCAAAGCAAAGAAATAAGCATGCATAAAACCACAATCTCCCTTTCACTGTCTATATCTATAAATATAAATATTTATATATATATATAAAACTAACATTTACTAGAGGTTTTTTTACCCTCTCAGATAAGAGCTGCTTGGCTGTTTTTTAGCAGGTTGATCTCTGCCTGAGGAAACATGAAAAAGGGAGTATGTTTGAATGCAAACATGGTTCAAATATTTTGTATTTTACAGGACTCTGTGTGAGTGAAATACCCAGAGTTAGAGACTGGCAGGAGGGAGGTTTCTCAGCACGTTTGTGTGCTAGAGCTGTGCCTGGGGAGCTCAGGAGCCCAACTGTAGGATTGGTGGAGGAGAAATCTTTAGACATTTATTTGTTGCAGGCATCCTGTGTGGACAACGTACCTGTGTATGTGAGGAGAAAGGCTTTTGCGGTATTTTGTGTTCTTGTTACGGGATGGAGAGGAAGCGTTTGTAGGGTTTTTACCCCGTGGTTGAAGAGGCAGCACAAAGGGATGGGACACAGATGACAAAGCCATTGATTCTTCCTAGGCTACTTTCCAGTGATCTCTTCAGGTCAAACACTTAATAAAGGTCTGGGGTGAGATGAAGAGAGCAGCTATTTCATGCTCTGGGATAAAACTCTCCTCAGCCCAACAAATTCAAGACAGAAAACCTCCCTTTTCTGCTGGACCATCAGTCCAGGTATTCAGATGAAAATGTAGATAGACTATGTAAACCTACAGCAAGATTATTTTTATCAGCCATTTTATGTGTAGATGCTACAGTGTGATTTCATGCGGAAATATTGCTACAGATTTTTAAAAATATAGACGTTGTGTGTGCGTGGGTGTGTGTGTGTGTCTGTGCGTGAGTGGGAATGTTTCATTTGGAGTCCGTAGGGATGGGAGCCCGCGTGGCACCGTGCTCCCTCCCCGGCACGGGGCCGCTCAGCTGCCGCAGGCTGAGCCCCGCGACGCGCCTCGGAGAAGAGATCGGCTGTTTTGTTTCTATCCATGAATTTTGCTGTAATTGGTTATGCCAGATAAGATGTCACAATACCACTGGTTAAAAATAAAACCTATTTTTCAGATTTACTGCGCTGATGGTACTTCCAAACCTCTTGCACTAGCGGGTTGGCTTTAGCACGGTGTGAAGTTCTCTGTCGTGTCTTGCCTGGGGCGGGGGCCGAGGCCACACCACTGTCTGTCTGTCTGTCTGCTGACACTGCACTTTGTGTCCCTATTTGTCCCAAGTGGATTCTTTGCTACAAAACTAGCTTAGAGTCTGACCCTGAGCACTGAACATAGAAAAAAATACTTTATTTTTCTGTTTAGTGTAGGGAAGTGCTTATTCAACACAATAGCAATGTTCTGCTGATTGCCCGGACATGGGACCCTTCCCAGTAGTACTGGTTTGTGTGTGTTTGCTATTTAAGTGATTTTTTTTTTATTTTTTTTTTCTCTTCAGCTGCCATCTAGTTGGTGGTAGAAGGCTGTTTGTGGGAGCAGGAGCATTGTGGCTCCCCGTAGTGGAGATTTTCCAACTTGTGTTGTGTGTCAGTGCCGTTCACTCGAGGAGTGACTGCCCAGAGCTGTGTTCCGAGCGAGTTCCCAGGCCTGGATAACCCCGGGTGGGGGTGTTGGTCCGAGCCAGGGAGCTGCTCCCGGTCAGAGCTGCGCAGCAGCTGGTGGCAGGAAGGACAGAGGAGCGTGGGGGTTCTCTCAGCTGTAGGGAAGCTGCCGTCCTGCTTGCTTTCACCTTCTGCTTGCCTGGGGACAAACCAAGAGCAGAAAACCCTAAACAGAACCTGTCATTTAGTGTTTTCTGGGAGAAAAAAAAAAAATCCCCAAAACTCAAGGTACACAATTCCAGAATGTGCTCAGTTACAATGTATCCTGGTTAGCAAAAAAAAAAAAAAAAATCAAAAATCCCGAAATTAAACTCAGTGAGACTTGAACTGAGGAAAAGAATAAACTACACCTACAAAATCCAATTATTTAATGTTTCCTATTTGATTTGCATTGGTCACTTGCATTAATTCATCTTTCTAGAGCCAAGACATGCCTTAGATATTTAGAACTCCCTAATTGTGCACTGATCACCTGTGTGTGCGCGCAGAGTTGAGCAAGAGTCGTGTTCATAAAATAACAAATGAGTTACACGTTTGCTTATGTACCAGGAGTTTTTGCTGTAACACCTCTTGCTCACAGGTGTATTTATAGAACCAAGCCGATTGTCAGTTTATTTCCTGACTCTGCTGTTGCTGTAGCCAAGGCTCATTTACACACGTGTGTGTATGCAAGGTTAAAAAAATCTGCCGTGGCACTTTGTCCCTCATTTGTGTTTTATAAAAGAGCAGACTCGTTCTTTGAAGAACACGGGCTGAGGGTGATGGGTGTTGCAGTGGCTGCCTGTAAGCAGGAAAAATGAATCTTTCCTCAACCCCTGATGGTGTTTTTTCTGCAATTCCTGTTTATTGGGTGGCATGCGCAGAGCAGGGGCACCCACGCGGGTGATGGGTGCGCAAGGAGTGGAGGCTGTGGGCAGGTTGAGGGCTGGCGGGGTCCAGCACTGTGTAAGCAGCCGGGCTGGCTCAGTAAGGCGCAACTTAGTCACTTCCTTCGGGAAGTCTGTAGGATGGAGCAGCCTCGGGTGTGGGAGCCCCACCTGAGCCTCCTGGAGTTGGAGCAAAATGTCGAGGTGTTCTCGCTTACCGGGACCGGACCTTCCCGCGGGCTGGGTTTGCTGCTCCGGCCTGTCACGGGGGGTGTGGCACTGACCTTGGGCTCTGCGCTGGCCAGGAAGGCCCAAGAAGGGGTTAGACCCGCTGTGGGAGATGAAACCAGACCCAACAAAGCCTGGGGCACCAACGCTTCTTGGGATGGTTCCATCTCACGGCTACTCCTGAACCTCCTCGCTGCAGTCACCTGGCCGAAGCAGAGAACCTCAGCCCGCTCTCGCCGTGTCCCCGCTCTGCCGGGAGACCAGGCTTGGGAGAAAACCGCCATGGCTTGGTGCTCCTCGGCGGCTGGAACGCGCTGCTGCCCTTCCTCGCCAGCCTGGAGCCTCCATCCTCCATCAGCTGCAACGAAGAATGTCCCCGCGTGTCTGACGAGGCACTGTGGCTTGTCCCCCAGATTCCCCGGCTCGACAAGTCCTTACTCACCCGCTTGTTCAGGGCTTTCATGAGCCCCCCCGTCAGCCCCACGAGGACATTTCTGGGCCGGTGGCCCGGTGGGAGAGCGCGAGGCGGGGGTGAGGCGTTGCCTGCCCAGCTGCCGGCGCAGAGGCCAGAGGCACCTGTACAAGATCGAGGCGTGTCGGGAAATCTGATGCCTCACCTCCGCCGATGTGGAGGCGGAGGGAGGAGGGCCCAAAGACATGTCCCTTCACGCTCGCAACAGCTGAAAACGGAGAAGGAAACTCGCTAGAGCCTTTTTTTACCAGCACAGGAGGCCTCGCTGTCCTGCGCTCACCCCAGAAGCCCTCCCGTACTCCAGTACTCTGGGGGGGTGGCAGTCCCGCACCCACCGGGCGATGAACATCGCAAGGAGAAGAGGCTTCTATAGACAGGAGGTGAACAAAACCCTCTGGGAACTGCCCAGGAGATACACGTCCCTCCACCCCGTGGGGTCGGGAGCCTACGGCTCGGTGTGGTGAGTGGGGTCCTGCCTGCAGCGCCGGCAGCGGCACGGGGCGAGCTGGGGGCACTTAAAATATCACGCCGGGGGGAAAACGAGGAGGCGCTTGTCAGCATCCCTCCATTAGGAGGGACATCTGCACGTGATGGAGGCAGTTTGTTGCCTGCGCGGGCAGCGGGTTGGGGACTCGGTTGCTTGGTGACATGGGAGTGGTTCCTCCTGTGGTCGCCCCGGGTGGGCAGAGGGGAGCGTTTCCCACCCGAGCTCACGTGGGTACTGGAGCAGGGGTGGCTGCAGCGTGTTCCCTGCAGCTGCTTCAGTCCAAGGCAGCTCGTTTGGGGCTGCCTGGGGAAAGGAGCTGGGCAATACGACCCTCTTGCTTGATACCACTTCCAGCTTGAAATCATAAAATAGAAATGATTGTAAGCGGGGATCAGTGACACGCTGGGATGGGACTTCCCTCCTGGTTGATGGTAATCCTCGAGCTCCAGGAGAGCAGCCTGAGCTGCTGTTAATTTATCAGTTGGGCAAAGGTGTCTGCAGTGAGAGCCAGCAGAAGTCAGATCTTGCTTGGTTTATGTTGGCAAACAGGAGGAGACGGGTGACTCTTTTGAAAGGTTAAATATGAAGCAGCTCATTGATAGGATCTGAAGGGAGCCCTTTGTTTCATAACATGCTGAGCTTAAAAAAAAAAAAAAAAAAGTGCCAGAGAGACTTTGCCCAACACCTACAAAAGGTGTGTCACCTTTTGTAGGTGTTGGGCAAAGTCTCTCTGGCACTGTCACAGCTCCAATCCTGAAACCCTGGGGCCCAGGTTCTGTCCTTGACCCCTGGCTGCCTGTTTAGAGAGAGGCACTCAGCGCTTCCCCTCCCCATGTTGCTGTCCAGGTGTGTTTAAGCTTCTGAGATGCTTAAATGAGCCCTGCAAAATCAGGCAAGAGTAAACTTGACTTTTATTGCTGCAGTGTTTTCTGGGTTTTGTCATAAAAGAAAGCAGGAAGATTAGAAGAAAATAAAGACGGGACCAAAAAAGGGAAGAGGGAAATCGTTCCAAAGTTTCCTTGCCCACCAGAAAAAACCCAAATAACAATAAGACGAATTTTTTACTGATTCCTGTGATCTTGGCTGCTCTGGAGGTGTCAGGGAGGGAGGGATGGGTGTTAAAACAGCCCCCGGGTCTGAGGGGGTGCTGGTATAGCAGGGACAGCGCCCGGCAGGGAGGGTTTGGTGCCGATTCCTGTACAAAGCGGAGGGGGGAGCGTTAGGATTTGCTGTCCTCTGCTGGGAATTTCTGGGAAGCTTTTCCTATCGCAGCATCATCCGGAGCTGCTGGCTGTTACACCTCCTTGAGCAGCGGAGAACCTAACTCAGGAAAACCAGCAAAGACGTGTTTCTTCCCTCATTATTTCTGCTGAAAGCTGTAGGGATTTGGCTTCCAGCTGGAGGTAATTGTGAAAAAGTCTCCTGCCCCCTCCAACGCTGGTCTTGCTGCCAAGGCAGGGACACAGCTCTGCCTGCCCGGTGTGGTTAAGCCTGTGCTGGGCTCTCCTCGGCTGGATGAACTCCCCACCGTGGCTTGTGGTGTGGTGGAAGCGGCGCTGCCTGCGCTGGCCCAGCTGAGCCTCCATCCCCCAGCCCTGCTGTGGTGGGGTGAGATGCTCCGTAGGCCAGCGGCTGGGAGGGCAGGTAAGAACGTGCAAATCTGCCTTCAGTTCTGCAGCTGTTTGATTATCTGGTCTGAATCCCTTCCTCTAACTTCCCTGGCTCCTTGGAAGAGTTTACACTGTGCTGTCCCCTCTGCCGACTCCTGATGAAGTCCTGAACTGTGACAACCCTTCACTGTCCTCCTGAGACATCCTGTGGCATCTCCAGCGTTGAAGCTGCCTCGTGTAGCCGTTCTGTGCTTCCTTTGCTTTTCCCAGCTGAATGCATTGATGAAATCACTGTCATACCGAAGCTCCCAGAGGATTTTTATTTTTTTTTTGCTCTCATCATGCACAACTTGGAGCACCTGGAAGGGACCTTAGTGGCCGAGAGCGGGGAGATTGCCTGACGGTATCGGGGAGGTTGAGGAGAGCTGTTGATAGCCCAGACTGCTGGCAGACACACCACAACTGATCGCTTGTGGCTGACAAAACTGTGTGAGAGACTTCCAAGATTTGCAGCAAGGAACTGATAACTCAGCCTCAGTGCTGAACCAAAGGGACGGCCACGTGGAGCAGGGTGTTCCCACCTCTCCTACTGCAATCAGCCCTAAACCCAGCAAAATGCACCATTTCATTGCATCTCCCATCTATAAATGTCCCTTCATCCCGTAGATGAAGTTTTGCCTCTGAGCGAGGGCCCTGGAGGTCACAGTAGTGTTGCTTTACAGCTTTATGGTACCTGCCCTTTCCTGTCCCGTGTCCTCTGAGAGCCTTGAGGAAGGAGCAGAGGCTGGAGCCTGGTGATCAGAGGCTGTGTTGGGGTGAATCACGAGTCCCTTTGGAGAAGGAAGCCAGGGAAATGTGTCTGTGCGAGGCTGGGGGAGGCGTGCAAAGCACTAACGCCAGTGTCGGTGTGGGCTTGGCTACCCTGGGCAGCCGAAAGCTGTGGGGCTGATCGTGGTGATTTATAGCCCTTCCGTTTCCCCAGGAGATGAGATAAGGATTTACAAAGCGGTGGGAACTGCTCTGGAAACCCGCAGTGTGATTTGGCTGGGAAAACATCCCTTTTTTCCATCTGTTTGCCTCTTGGAGGGGTCAAGGAGGGGCTGAAGCCCCGGCGTGTAATGGGGTGTACTGACACCCCGTGGAAAACCACCGAGAGTCCCAAATTGCAGCGCTCTGCCTGAGGACCACCCGCCACGCTTCTCATCTGGTGAAATCTGGGGCCACCTTTGCAACCCAATCAAAGAGCCTCCAGGAGCAGAGAAAGTGTCACGGGATCGCCCTGTCCAGCCACAAACAGCAGACGTGGGCAGAGGGAATAACAGGTCCTGTCCCCAGCAGTGGCTGTTGTGCCGTGTCTTCATTAGCTTTGTAACAGACTCTGTTTTCAGCCAGACCTGCTTTTACCCAGAAACATTCATATAGCGTCAAAGATCCCAAATGCAGGAGAATTAACTCAACAACCTGTATTTTCAGCGCGTGACATCCCCTGGCTTTGCCCCAGAATACAGCGAAGGCAGATGATGGACCTTATAAGACAAAAACCTCCAAGGAGATGGCAAAGCAGAGATCGTTTTATTCCCTTATCTCCATGTTAGGGAAGGAGAAGGCAGAGGTAGAACTAATCCTGACCTTGAACTGTTTTGTGCTTCCCTCTTCCCACAGCTCTGTTAGCTCCAGCTCGTTTCTGCAGGTTAAAAGGGACAAAGCTAATTGTAGAAAGTCACTAATAGTTTGCTCGGTGTCCCACCAAAGAGCACGGGCTGCGGTCTGCCCAAAGCCATACAGGTAACACTTGTGTGCACAGAGCTCCGCTGGGTTTCTCAAGGGCCATTTCTTTGCTGTTCCTCTGTGAGCTCCAGAATTAGCTCTTCTCTGGGAGAAGACCTCTGGTATTGCAAAATTTGTTCAACCATACTGCCGATGTCAGAACTGGTTTTTACTTGTCCACTGCAGTTCAGCCATAGACAAGAAGACAGGGGAGAAAGTGGCTATCAAGAAGCTCTGCCGCCCGTTCCAGTCGGAGATCTTTGCCAAGAGAGCGTACCGAGAGCTCATGCTGTTGAAGCACATGCAACACGAGAATGTAAGTACTCATTTCTCTCCAGTCCTGCTGAAACAAGGCGGGTTTTCTTGCCACCTGGGAGCAAGTCCTTTCTGGTGACATCACCTTTATTTTAATTGAGAGGTCCCAGGATTTGGCACGTGCAGGTAGTTTCGGGATTTAACTGCTCCCTGACTGCTGTGCCCAGTTGGCACCAAGCTGGAGCAGATGTGTAATGGGTGCTCCCATGTGTTAGTAAGAGGAAAAGCAGCTGCCCAGCATAGCGAGGAGTCCTCACATTCCTCAGATGGAGTTCTCGGTGCTCACCCACATGCACGTGCCGGTGGAGAGCTGCTACCCTGGGCCCACGTGTGTAGCAAATGCTTCCCAGGTTGAAATGTGGACTTCTCTTCTCCATCAGGTCATTGGGCTGCTTGACGTCTTCACCTCCGCCCCCTCCTACCAGGGATTCCAGGACTTGTAAGTTTGGAGTTTGCGTTCGCTCTGTCTAGACTCAGCCATTGCCCAAGACAGCGGTGACTTAGCAGCAGGGTGGGAGATGGGGTTGAGGTGCAGTCCGAGACACTGAATTGAAAAGGGGCCAGACTAAAGCCAGACACCCCCAGACAACAAGGAGAATCAAAAGCACAAGTCAGTTCTTATGGCTTAAACCACCCAAAAGGCACAAAGAGCCCTGGGGCTGTGCTCCCAGCTGGGAGAACAGTGTGTAGAGGCTGACGTATGTAACGAAGCACATACGCTGTGCTTAGGCCAAGAGGGAATGGCCTCAAGCTGCCCAGGGCAGGGTCAGGCTGGCTCTGAGGAAGGATTTCTGTGCAGAAGGGGCTGTTGGGCGTTGGAATGGGCTGCCCAGGGCAGGGGGGAGTCCCCACCCCTGGAGGGGTTGAAGAGTCGGGCTGAGCCAGCGCTGAGGGATCTGGGGGAGTTGGGAACGGTCAGTGTGAGGTTAACAGTTGGACTGGAGGAGCTTCAAGGTCCTTTCCAACCTGGATGATTCTGTGAAGCAGTGTTACGTGCTGTGCCGTGTCACAGACAGCCTGAGCCGTGCTCACGCGCTGCCTGCACCACTGCTGAGCTAAGAGGCTGCCCTCAGAACAGGAGAGGTGTTCATCAGGCCCTGCGGTAATTAAACTGAAAATTTTAAAGATCTGGTTTTCATCTTGATTCTGGCTGTTTTTGTTTTGTTGTTTTTTTTTTTTCCCCTTGGTGCTGATGGTCAGGTTGGACGAGTTGTTTTCCTTTTCCCATCCTCGAGCACGAGCAGCGCGTGCCTGGGTTAGGGTTTTCAGCTGAGGGCTGGGTATTTAGCAGCCAGCAGGAAAAGTGTCTGGAGGTTCTCAGACCAGTTCCTGCTGGAAGATCATCAACTAATTAGCAGTCTCAGCAGGCAGGCCAAAGGCTGAAGGAAGGTAGATGTTGTCTTCCGAGGCAGGGCTGGAGAACATGACAAAGATAAATTTGGGAGCCAACGCAGCAGTTTTGCAAGACTCTTTAAAGCTGCGCAAGATGTTGCAGCTCCCAGATGGTGTAAGGCTGTCCGGAACTGAACATCACTTGAGGTCTAAAGTAAACTAATTCAGGATCATTAAAGTTTGGAAAAGCCTTGCTCTTACTTGACGTCAGATATCCAATTTAAGGGGAGGAGCAAGAGCAATTTTCAGAGCAGGCTGAAATCCCAGCACCACTGCAGGCTGTGCTAGTCAGCCAGGAACACTGTCACAACAACTCCTCTTAGTTACAGCAAGTTACACAGCCAAAAAAACCTAACCGAGTGATTACAAGGCTAGCCTGGTTCCTTATGTTTTTCTTCTAGACTCAGGGCCTTGTCTTACTGCCTTTTAGCTACCTGGTGATGCCATACATGCGGACAGATTTACAAAAGATCATGGGACATGAATTCAGTGATGAAAAGATCCAGTACCTGGTCTACCAGATGCTGAAAGGGCTGAAGGTAGGTGGGTCTGGAGGAGTTTAGTGACTCCCTATGTCTCCTCTACACATCACCTCTGAGTTGACCATAACTAAACCCCCTTCCAACACTGTATAGGAAGATTTGGGGGGGTTATGGCATCCCCTGAGAGCAGATATTTGCCGTTGAACTACTCTTGATCCAGCACACATCAATAAAATGACCCCTCGTTCATGTCAGTCAATCAGGTATTGAAGCAATCGGCAGTCATAGACCTTGCGATGGTTTTTCTGACACAGCAGTTGCGACGTTCCTTGACTTGCCAAAACCTTTAGCAAAACTCTGTGTAGAAAGTAAGAGGCCAGCAGCAACAGGAGCTGCTTCTGAATTCTGAACAGAGGCTCTCGGGGGAGAAGACAGAGGACCTGAGTTTCTATTCAATGGAATAAGGGAGGACTATGCTATTGTAACTGGCTTTGAGAGAGCAGAAAGCCATCCCGGCAAACCCCAGGATGTGGAGACCAAGCTTTAATGCTGCCCCTGAAACATTCTCACCTGGAGTCTGAGCAGTGGCTCTAACAGGCATTAACGAGTTCACCTTAATGACACCTTTCCCCAGATCACTGCCACCTTGAGGAGGGAAGAACATACAGAAGGTGTAACTGGTGTGATAAAAGCCATGTGGTCAGTTTTTGCTATTTTTTGTTTTAATGATGAGATTTTTTTTTCATGTGGTTTAACATCCAAAATAACAAAATTTTCATGTTGTCTCATGACCCTGTTCCCACCTGTAACCCTGATGCCCTTGTTTGATAGTTTGAAGCTATTAGTGTACACGCTCTAAGGAACTATTGCTCCACACCCCCTCCTCTGCTCTACGCCTCTTCTTTAGGCTGGCAATATCATTGCAAATATGGGCAGAAATTCAGGGCAGAGATTTCTTTTCAAGCTGCTGCCCTGGGGGCTGGGGCCCTGCAGCAGGCTGCAGAGTTGTGTTCTCAGCAAGTTCTTGTTTGTAGCTCCTGTTTCTCTGCTGGAGAACAGAAAGTCTTGTCTGCTGGTGCTCACATTGTGGCTTCTCTTTTTATTGCAGTATATTCATTCCGCTGGCATCGTCCACAGGGTAAGTTTGTGTGTGTTCTTACTGATTTTTTGCCTGTTTAGGAGAAACACAGCTTGGTCGTAAAGTTAATAAATTCCCAAATGTAGTTTAACTAATAGCCTCATCTGCTCTAAGGTCTTTCTGCCGTCCTCCCTCTTTTCCCTCCTACACCCTATACGTGTTTGGATTTGCTCGTTTGTGCAGTATTTTGAGGAAATGCTGTATTTTCTGATGAGCTAAGAAGTATTTTGTGATGCTTTTCGAATTGTTTTGGGAAAAAAAGTAGTCTAAAGCTGCAGAGTATATCAGGCATGGTGCCTTTGCCGTATCAATATGGGACTTGGGATGTTATGGTATCCCATCAAAAGCAAGAAGAGGTTTGGCTGAGGCTTGTGTGGATGCGTTACAAACCAAAACATCCTTATTATTCTGCTCTTGTCTGTTGTAGGACCTGAAGCCAGGCAACCTGGCTGTGAACGAGGACTGTCAGCTAAAGGTAGGTGGCAAAGCACCACTTTGTAGCATATCAGATCGTGGAGGAACTGCTCTGCCAGCAGGAATTTGGCACTGTCATGTTTCTTCTTGCCTCCCGAGACTCAGTTCGAGGCGTTTCATTACTCGGCGGTTGCAGGCGGTGGGAAATACTCACCTGCTGATGTAACTTGCTGAATCAGGGCCCAAGACTTGGAATGAACATCCTGTCGCTGTAATTCCTGCGGGACGGCAGTTCGTAATGACTTCCGAAATAAATTCAGTACTGCTGAGCAATGCTTGCGTTGGGTGGATGATCCCCGAAGGATAACTGGATTCGACCACAGTTACCCTTCGGTTCTCATTGACGTGATGGTTGTGATTTCAGGCAGAGTTATTTTCAGTGTTGCTCTGAAGGGTTTGCTTGCAGCTCGCTGGTGTGGTGCTCCAGCACGCATTTTCTGTAGTGTGTGTTACAGGGAATGGCTCTGCTTCCTCTAGAGGCTGGGTCAAGCTATTTTCATCTCCAGAATTGAGGGAGAGGCCATGCCCTGTCAGCTGCAGGGTGTTTTTATAGGAAAGGGTGAGTCGTGGTGGCCTGGGCAGATGCCTTCACCACCAGGTTGTGGAACTCAATTAAATAAAGCTCGTAGAGTTGAAACTTAAGCCTCAAGAGAGGAAGTGACCTTCCAGGTGCACACAGCACCCGTCCTTTCGGCAGGGTCTTCACACAACTGGTTTTGCAGCCAGGTTGCAATTTAGAGAGGAATTAAGACAAACCTGTTAGTTCTTTGAACTGTCCTGTGGGTGGCTGTGGTGTAGTTGGAGCTTTATTATTACCTGATTGAATCTGCTTCGTTTCCTTTTAGAAGTAGATTCTCACTTGCCCATAGGATTTCTCTTTTCTTTCCTGCCCTTCCTTCTCTCTCTTCCTTTGGTGAACTGCAGATCTTGGATTTCGGCTTGGCCAGACACGCAGATGCTGAAATGACTGGCTACGTGGTCACACGCTGGTACCGAGCCCCAGAAGTCATTCTGAACTGGATGCATTACAACCAGACAGGTGAGCAGCCTCGCCTCAGCCCCGTGACGAGCCCGGGGATCCCGCTGTCACACGTGGGTCACAGCTCACGTAATCCCCCAGATGTTTTTCTTCTTTATCATCAGTGTCCCCTGGAGCAGAGCAAGTCCCAAAGCTGTTGCACAACTCCCAAAGCCTAGTGCCTGTGGGAAGTGATGGAAGCAGATATTTTGGCAGCATAGAAAGAACAGGGGAGGGTGGAAAATGGGAGTGAAATTTAAATCAGCACCCCTGCTGCAAGCAACATCCCAGCAATTATTGCTGCCTTCTCACTGTCCTTTTTGGTTTTTGTTTCTTTTATTTCTCTTTTTTTCTCTCTGAACAGTGGATATCTGGTCTATTGGCTGCATCATGGCAGAAATGCTGACAGGGAAAACGCTGTTTAAAGGAAGAGACTGTATCCTTTCAAGCTGAACCTTTTCCCTGGGGGGAGTAATGATTCTTGGGGTGTGTGTGAAAGGGTTTTTATAAATGAGGCTACTGGGAAAAACAGGTGTCAGTCTGGTTTACCAGGAGATAATCGCAGGGACCAGTCTTTTTGGTGAGGAAAATGGGACAGGGCCAAGCCATCCTCAGAAATACACCTCTGTGCTGGGCACGTGCTCTGCATCAGGAGTCTCTCCTTGCGTGGCCAAAGCTTCATCCCCAAACCTTTGTGTATCCCCCACCCCCATGGGCCCTGGTAGAGTTGTGCCAGCAAAATTATCTGTTGATAAAAATGTCATCCCAGGAAAAAAGCCCTGGAGCTCTTTTTGCCAGTCTGATGAGTCTGCTTGCGCAGCTCTGCTGGGTTTGTATCGTAACCTACTCGTAGCTCCCTCAGGCTCTCCAGCACCCAGTCCTCAGGCTGAGCTGTTGGGAGGTGTCCAGGGCGCTCTACTAGACGGGTGATCTTTAACTCAGCCTGCCAGACCTAGATCAACTGACACAGATCCTGAAAGTAACGGGGCATCCAGGGGAAGACTTCGTGGAGAAGCTGGAGGACAAAGCGGTAAGAAAGTTCCCTGTGAATTCTGGCTGGCAGAGGTTAACTCGGCGTGTCTGTGAGGTGGGAAAGGTGCTGCTTCTACCGCAGCAGGGAGGAGGAGCCACAGCAGTCTTTGCCCCTTGGCAAGGAAGAGGTTTCTCTTTGCTAGTGGCACGTCTGATGGATTTGGCGTTGCATTGGGAGCTAGTGTGGGTTACAGGGACTCCCAGGCCAGGTGCCTGGTGCCCCAGCAAACCACCAGCCTCTGCTGTTCTCTAGTTTGGCCCTTAAAGCAGGAATATTTCTGTATCTCAATTGATAGAAATAGTTCCTTGCAAATTGATCATTGAAACATGACACCTGGGATGATTTGCGGGTGTATTTATTTGCCTTTCCTCATCTGAGCCATGAGACCCAAGAGTTGTTTCACAGCCCCTCACACTTGTCCACGTGTAGTAAATGCACTTCCCTTTCCATTTCAGGCTAAAAACTACATCAAGTCCCTTCCTAAAATCCCCAAGAAGGATTTGTCTGTGCTTTTTCCCAAAGCCAATCCTCAGGGTAAGTCACCTCCAGAATTTCTCATGAGTTTTCACAGCTGGAAAGGAGGCAGGCTCACTGCCACAGCTCCAATCTTATTTCTCCTCTTTCTCATAATTTCTTGCTACTTTCTCCCTTGCAAATTGTGCCCCTGCCCCTCAGGGTAAATACATATGAATTAAAAGCAAAATGGTTCTTTATTGGAATTACAGTGGCAATGTTCTGCTGTTCTTGGCCATTTTCTTTTTTTTTTTTTTTTTTTTAATTTTAAAATGGCACAGCCTGCATTATACAGTATTTAAGGAAGAGAGAAAGTTCTGACTCTCATCAGAAGAGAGCGGGCACTGGATATAACAGGATGTCCAGGCTGTGGATACAAATTATGGGATTAGGACATTGCACATGTCAGCTCCACTTGGTATGAGAGTTGGGATGAAATTTGGCTGATATTGGCTTCCAGAAGTTGTTGCTTTCAGCCAAGCAGGTGATATTATGATCAACCAATTTAAACCAATTTTTTTTTTTTTTGATAAACAAACTAGTTCTTCTTTGTTCATGGTTATTTCCCAGCCCCACCTCTAAGACTCCATAGGTTTTGATAAGGTGCTGAGAGCCCCACAGTCCAAACCAGTTTGGTTTTTTTTAGAGTACAGCTTAGATACTGTTTGTTGATCACCTGGATCTATGGATACTTAACAGGCAGCTGAGATGTGCAATTTTCGGGGTAAAAATTGATCTCTTAAAGGAGCTCTTTTCCCAGGTAGATTAGAGGTGAGAGCAAGCAAAACTCTTCTAGAGACTGAAAGGAAGAAAGCATTAAGATGTTAAAACCAAGGGGGAATGGGTCTAACAGACTAGTTAGTATCTCCGTTTCTTGCCTTCCTGTTTACCAGGGATGTATAGATTTCTGTATAGATTACTCACGTTAAGACTACTTTGAGTTGTGGGGATCAGAGTGAAAGTGAATGATTAAAACCAAAAAATACCTTGAAGTTACTGGCTTTTTATATTGTTGCAGCTCCATCTGTGCAGCGAGGTTTATTCAAGATGGTTATTTCTGCACAACTTACACCTCCAGTTCTGTCAGTAAGAGCTCCCTGAGGCTGTTGTTGGGTGGACCTTGCATCCCCCCTGATGGCAGCCTCACGCTACCTTGACCAGGTTGAGGAATTTCTTTCGTTTCCAGGTCTGGAGATGTAGTCCTGGAAACACAAGCCCTGTTCCTTGCAGGGTTCTCATCTACAGGATTCCTGTTCTCCATCACAGTTTGCTTAGCCTTGTTTCTGTCTTCTCCTACAGCAGTGGACCTGCTTGACAAGATGTTGCAGCTCGATGTGGAAAAGCGCCTTACAGCGACAGAGGCGTTGGCTCACCCCTATTTCGACCAGTTCCGAGACGTCGAGGAGGAGACAGAAGCACAACAGTCCTATGATGATTCTCTGGAACACGAAAAACTTTCAATAGATGAGTGGAGAAGTAAGAAATTTATCTTTGAAGTTCCTGTCTAGCACGGGACTTTCCTACCTCTCCTTCCTGTGCGTGTGCTGACTAAGGCTGCGATTGCCTGCTGGGGCCTTGATGATAGAGCACATGTCCCTTGCCTTGCTCTTGCTTTTATTCGTTCAGCAAAGATCCCTCCAGCTCCTCAGGCACTTTTTTTTTTTTAATTGCCTCTCTGCTCTGTCTGTCTCTTCCAGCTTGTACCTGCCCTGCCCTCTCCACTGAGTTACCTCCTCTCTGCACATTCACAACACTCAGACTCTTAACTTGTGTCCTCTAAAAATCACACATTCATGGTTATTTTTGTTCTGTTTTTCAAGAGCATATTTACAAGGAGATCTTGTCCTTCAGTCCCATTGCACGGAAGGACTCAAAGAAGCGAACTGGGATGTCGTTATAGCGACCGGTATGGCTTTTGCTGGGATTCACTTCTCCTGGGTGACGGATGGGACTGGCTCCTCGCTGCCTCGCTGGTGGCCGTCGACTGGCCTGTGGGACTTGTGTGTGCCAGCACAAGGGTGACGCCGTGCTGTGGGCACTGGACTTTGTTCTACTAGAGGGGGAAACACCCCAAACAGTTTTCAATGCAAAAGATAAATATATTCTCATTGGAACTTCAAGTGGGAGAATTTTACCTGGTGTTTTTGGTTTTTTTTGTTGTTTTTTTTTTTCTTCTCCCCCCATATTCATCCAATTGAGAGAGCTTTCATTGCTCCCTTCTCATTAGTCTTTCCAAGCACAGGTTTTAGTACATTAATATACATAAGGCAGACTTTTCTGGGAAGCGAGTTCCAAGCAAAATAAACAGAAATAGTGAAATTCAGCATAACAAGACTTTATCCAATCTAACTCTGAGCGTATCCCCTTTCCCTGTGCAGTCAAAACAGCCTCCAGCACAGGGAGGTTGCTGGGATGGGGGAATCCAGTCGATCATGGCATCAGTCTGTGCACAGAGCAGCTCCAAACTCTTGCTTAGATACACAACTCCCTGCTGGGGTGCTTCCCCCTCTGGACAGCCAGTCTCCTCTGTTTTTTGCTCTGCTTATTTCATTCCCTGGGGTTTGATCAGTGCTGTCTCCTCCTTATTGCTAGCTGGAAACACACCCTGGGAATTCACGGCCACTTCCCACAAGCATCCCACGGGGCTGGGTTATAATCTAACAGTCCTGCTGCCGTTCCTTCCTGCTCAGCCTGGTTTGCCCAACGGTTCTCTCTTCATCACACTTATCTCCCACTGAGCACCCTCTCCCTGGAGTCACCCTGCCTGCTCCAGGCTGCCTTTATCTCTTGGCAGGGCTAGTGTTTCCTTACACAGACCAGCGATGTGACCCCTTATATTCTCATTCCTTCTGCCCTGCAGGATCAGTTAAACCAGGGATCCTCTGCTTCAGTTCTCTTTAATGGCTGCTCATTCCTCAATATGAAGAGATGTTTAGAGTCATCATTTGGAAAATAGTCAAGTGTCAGTCCTAAGGCTCAGCCCTCAAAGTAACTAAATAAAAGTTCTTATATTGGGGGGGGGAAGCAGGAAATTACGTTGCATGAACAATCTAGTGTTAGCAGAAAGGGACACAATAATTCAACTCAGTGAGCACAGAAAATAAGTTCAGACATCTTAGTTTTTTGGTATCAGATTAGCTCCTTCCATTGGCATCGTTATAAATTACATCTAAGATAATCTTATTAAATAGAATATCTCCCAAAAACCACCACAGGCTAGAAAACATCCTTGTAAGAACTTCACAAATTCTTTTTACTGCGTTTTCATTGAGGTTTTGCATTTCTTATTTATCTATGGAAATTTTAATTCAATCACTTATTTGGCGAGTAATTCTCGATAGCTGCAAGAAATGGCCTTCTCTGAGATGCTCAGAGTCCCCACATGTGATGGGGTGGGACTGTGCAGTGCTGCTGGCACACAGCTGGGGAGAGCACATGGCCTCAGCCAGCTGCATCCAGCCCTGCTCTGACACAGTTTCTTCGGTAGGTAAAGTTTTATATGAGATGAAAAACACCACAATAATCTCTTTTTTTTTTTTCTTTTTTTTTTTCCTCCTGGATGTGGACAAAAAAAGAATGTAGGATGATGTCAGAATTCCTGACAACTTGCCTGGATTTAATTGCTTTGGAAAGGTGTTCAGGTAGCATCAAGATAAGAGGAGTGCGATACATAAACAGAGGGAGGTTGTTTTGTGAACACAGACCAACCAGAGTCATCTGGATCCTCCCTCAAGGGAAAGTTTGTTCCATTTTTTGGTTCTACAGTATGTTAAGTCATTCAAATTTAACAGTATGTTTTGATCTTTGAAGTAATTTGATGTACTGGAGGTATACTGATACCATCTGAAGCCTGGTGGTTTTTGATGTGTGTGCAGCAGTATGTCCCAAGCCACCCCTCGAGTACATAGGTGTTTGCTACAAATGTTATTACCATTAGAACAGAGAAGAGATGGAGAATAATTACAAGAACAAAATAAGCAAATGATCCGAAAGTGACTGCAGTGTCACTACAACTGTGTCTGCGGGTTCATGCCTTGGTGAGTTTGGGTCTCATGTGAGCATCTGAACGCTGGTGCTTCAGAAACCAAGTGTGATTTATCCTCAGGGTGGGATACGCCAGGATAGCAAATGTGGAAGAGCAGGATTTGGGGGAGAAAGGAGACTCCAAGGTACTTCCAAAGTCTGATACTTTTGTTATGTAAATTCTGGTGCCTTGACAGCCCTCTCCTAATGCATGCCAATGATCCTGTAGACAGTAGCTCTCACCAGACCTTTTGGAGTACAGCCCAGGTGTACTCATGTGGCTTATTCTAAAGCAACATAACTGCTGGGTCTTGACCTGAGGTGATGTCATGGTCCTTTGTCACTTGTGAGACCAGGAGATCGGACAGTAGATTTTGGAGAATTTTTCCCTTCCTCCTCTATGCTTGGAAATTCTCATTGTTCATATGCTAAACAGTTAATTGCCCAAGTTTCAAAGTACAATGGGGTCTTTGGGGGTTATTTATCCTCCCTCTGCAGTGCTACACAATAGATTTTCTTTTTTTTTTTCCTCTGACAGGCCTTTATTCCTCGAAATATGAATAAGCATGCTTCACTTCCACAAAAAAAATCTTTAAATATATATTAGGACGCCCCACAACCAGTCATACAGCGTAGTGTAGTGCTCGGGGTGACCCTCCAGCAACGGTACCTTTTTGATACGCTGGTGTTGATGTTATCCTGCTGCAGCTGCACAGATGCTCCACGCTGACGAGAAGTGGTTTCTCTCCGCTCCTATCTCTCTGAGCCACATACCAGCCCTCTGCCTCACTCTGCACAGAACCGTTGTGATGTTCCATCAAGTCCCTTGAAATTCAGTGGTATTGTTACAAAGCACTCTGAAGAGCTGGGCTGGAGGATATGCAGTGGTGTCCTGCTGACTCTTGTCTTGAAGAACCCCAGCTTGATGGGAGCAAGGGACCATCCTTTCTTCTTCCTAAGTGTGAGACAACCTGGATTTCCCTTGAATGGTGGGAGAAGTTCCGGATACATCAGTCAAAAAGCAGTTGACATATTGTCCTTTTTGAACCTGGCATCTAACTAGGCTGCCCTGTCCACTGTGTAACAGAGTTAACAGAGCTCTCTGCAGCTGCCATAAATATCTTGGAGAGCTGCAGATGTTTAGAGCTGCCTGTGCCCTGGTAAAATGAGATTTGGTGTTCAGCAGTGGAGGGTCATCATCGAGGTGAGTGTGTGTGAACACACAGGGAGGTGTCTGAGGACTGTGGGTGAGGCAGGCTGGCCTCCTGACTACATGTAGTTGTGGATGTAGAGAGGCAGAGGAGTCTTAAAAGCTTCATCTTGTAGAGAAAAGTTGAGTAAATCTATGGAGACTTTTGGAGTATAGAGTTTTCTTTCAGAAAGTCATCTGTTAAGGTGAAGAACCTTTTCAGACAGAACTCGGAAACCACTTTAACTGGGAATTTACTGTGTGATTTCTTAATCATCATGCCCCTCTTCAAAAAAGGGATAGGCAGACCTGAAGAGGATTGGAGTTTGCTGGCTCTCTCTAATGATGGCTGAGGGAGAAAACATCATGATAATGTACTGAGTAGTTGACAAGGAGCCTCCATAGTTTTAAAGAATAGCCCAAGATGCCCTTTGGGAATCGTCTGTGTGACCAGAGGATGAGCACAGAAGAGGCACCGAGGCCTTCGAATACAAACAGGTGTGAGAAGAGCAAGTGTGAACACAGCTGAGTGGGATATGTAGATTTTGCTCTTGGGGAGACCAAATATTAGTCCCACTTATTTCAGGGATAGCATGTAAAGTCTCTTTGGTATCAGTCTTTCTGCTGAATATACTTCCAGAAAATATTGTGTGTTTCAGGGACTGGGTTTCTCTGGAGAGCTCCCACTGAATGCTCTGAAATGGCGAGAGCAATCTCAACAGCTGGTGTGTGGGCTCCACGCTGTGGTTTCATTCACTCACCCACCAACCCCATGCAGTGACAGCGCACTGTCCAAGAGCCAAACACTATTTCTTCTGCAACTCCCAATATCCTGACAAATGTGGGGAGCTGTGCTCTGCAAGCCCAGGAACCCTGGAGGTGTGCCTGTGTTTGGTTTCGGTTGTATGTACCAGCCAGGAACTCAAAATAGCAAGAAATGTAGCAGGTTGATAGTGGAAAGACAGTGTCTGTTTAGGAAGATCAACCGTCCCGTATGGCATCTGAGGACATGTTTCAATGAAGAGGAATGAGCTACTTGAAGAGAAAAAAAAAAAAAAAAGTCATATTCACATTTCATGAAAGGAGTTTGAAAAACACCTGCTCGACAAGAGCCAGTGACTCAGGCCAAGCTTTAAAATACTTCAAAACCAGCACAAGAAACAGGGTGTTTGTGACCCTGACAGACACTGTTAGTCACAGAAATTATCTTACCCCGAGGCACAGGTGTGCCTGTTAGATGAGCCACACTGACACATAATTGATGTACATTCCTTTCTTCACGTTTTTTCCCCTTGAGTAGTTTACATACTTAAAAATACAAAGCTGAGTGATAAAAATCACTTAGCCTTTAAGTGAACATCCAAAATTCCATAAATTAGGCCAGCCAGAAATGTTTGCTGTTTATATTAAGGATGTATGATTAAAATGTGTATGGACAGAATTTTTGTGCCTGTCTCACATAACACACAGATGTTTATCTTGGAATACTATTTACTTGTTATTCCTACATTTATTTATGAGTTTAGTAGCTAAGCATATTTTTTTTTTATTTGGAAAATGAAGTATTCATCGTAAACAATCTGTGTAAGCTTTTTTTGACAGCTAGTTAGGTCTGTGAAGTTGCAACTTTATGGGATGTATTTATTAGGTACTTCCAGATGTAGTTGGAAAGGAAAAGCAAATGAAGAAATGATTTTTTTTTTTAATTATTTTTTTTTTCCTTTCTTAAGAGACACCACAGAATTGTCAGGATTGAGAGATACAATACTTGCCATGTTTTGGACACCACCTAGAAAGCTTTTACTGCAGAGCTTTGAAAATATCTACAGCCTCTTAGGAAACCATGTGCTATAGGAAAAGGGAAGTCTGTTTTCATGTGTAACCTTTTCACATTCCAGGTAGCAGACTAAACAAATAAATTTCAGGTTTTAAGTGTGTGATAAAGGGGGAGAATAAAACCACAGAAGACTATAAACACATCTGAGAACTCTAGTGAGATACTGTACAGAGGATGGTAATACCTTTTCATATTTCCGTGCCTTGCTCTTGCCTGAGCAACCAGGGAAAGTGTTCCTAATCCTCTGTAGTTTCCTGTATCATGGGTCAGTGGAGCGTTGGCTGGTAACATGATTATGGCTCTTTTTCTTTTTCCAACTAAGACAAACAAGACATGAAAGAGGAAGATTGAATGAAGACCAAAATAGCCAGTACTAATTCATTTTTCCCCCAAATGCATGCACACTTGCTGCACTAATTGCGGTTACCTTCAGGGCTGTCAGCATTGCTACACTCTGAAAATGTCAGAGTTTCCAGGTGAATGTGGTTTATGGGGTGTTTTGCCTGGTTTCTCTCTACAAGGCCACTTTCTGAGCACATGGGTTCATACAGCTTTTAATGCGATGTTCAGCCTGTGCTGCTTCACAACTGATTCAGTCAGCACTTTGGCTGATTGATAACTCCTTTTTGTTAGATTGCACTCTATTAAATAATACTGAAAGGTTAGTGTATATCTTCAGCCCTCATTGATTTTCTGTTAAATGAAAGTGAGTTAACTCCTTTTAGCCAAGTTTGCTTGGAAAAATAAAAATACTTCCAGCACCAGCTATAATTTCAGGTCTGTCGGCAGAACCCTTCACCTGAATAAAGGTTTCGAAACTATGATTTGAATTTTAAGATTGAAAAATGAACAGCACTAAGGAGATAGTGCTGGGTGCTTGTGTCATCTCTCCAGAGTTAGTGAGACTGAACAGGGTTATATATACCCTGCACAAAACTGGGGTCTTAGAAAGTGCAGCTGAGCACTTAAAAATCCAGCTGAAATAAACGGCGGCTGAGGCTAATCATGAAGAGATATCAGGCTTTTAACCTTTAACAGGTTCTTTTTAGCAATTGTATTAATTTCAATAATTCTGAAGAAAATGGCCACAGCACAAGCAGAAATACAAACATTGCTCATGTTTTAAGCTTAATGAATCAACAAACAAAAAAGGCCAGTTCTCAATTTCAAATGACAGTTTTCTCCTCTTTTTAAGTATGTTTCATATACTTGAGTAAAGATGAAGAAAATTATAATACAATTGAAGCTCTGAGCTGTCTTGGCTGCTGCTTTTCATTTCGAGCAACATTGCCAGGTTTGAACTTGCACCCTTTAAAAACTGGGAGAGCGAAGAAATTGAATAAAGTTGTGCCTCTGGGATTCGAGATAAGTTCAGAATGTTTTTTCAGGTAACCCATTAGTTCCACAGCTCTATTATAAAATTAAATGATGGGTAACTTGTTTTCATGTTGTGACACATGGCCCCCGATCTTCAGAGATGTCTGTACATCGCTTTGTGCAGGAGTCATCCTACTGAACTTAATGGGGCTATTCACATGCTTGACATTAAGCATGTATGCAAATCTTTGCAAGACTGGAACCTAATGTGATTATAATAAGCCAATTCCAGTGCAAATCTACGAGTCTGAAGTTTCAAAACTGAGGTCAAAATGAAAGAGTTTGCAAGAGTTTGTGGTATTTAGAAAAAAAGATGCCAAAAGTGCTGGGAAACAAAAAAAAATGCAAGTAAAACCTGCTGTTAAAAACAAAATTTTTCTTGCATAAAGGAAAATGAGATAGTGAAGTTGTTCATTAGTTATTGACGTGATTTTATTTACTGTTTAACTGTCTTCCTAACACTCAACTCAGAAGCAGAAACACCTATAGATTTTTTTTTTTTTTATCCTTCACGTATAGGACCATGCTGCTGCATAGCTGTTCTTCGAGGGTTAGGTGAGATGCTACGTAAATCAGTGAAAGTATTTGGCCTTTATTTCTGAATATTTGATAGGTTATTTCTCATGCAAGACAAGAACAGAATATATTATTGAGTTCTGATATGTTAACAGTAGATTCTTTAAAAAGTATACACAGAAGGGAGTGCTTGGAGGTTGACATCTAAGACTGTTCAGCACTAAGTAACACGTTTTCCCATGCTTTTAAGGCTTCAACAAGCTCTGGTCCAACCGGAGTACTTTGCCAAACAGACTTGTCATAGACTGTGTGGCTGCTCTTGCATTCCATGGTTAACATACATCAAGAGACAAAAGATCTATAGTTGGACTGTAAATGAGGGAAAATAGCATTCATTTTTGCCTTTGAAAACAGTTCGGTTAATTCTATAAATTCAGATGGTAATATTATGCAATACTCTGCACGATCTGAGTGGGAGGTGGAGCGTACATATGCAAGTATGTGGTACGCTCTATAAAAAATAAGTGTAGGAGCCTGTGCAGTTCCTATCTCACCACTTATCTCAGTTGCAAATGTAACTTCTTCCTTGTTCATTCCTCAGTCCCTCTCTCACGGTCCTTCCACCCCGTTACACCTCTGCACCTTAGGACCTGAAAGTATCAGATTAGAAAATAAATGCAGGCTCTTATTATTCCCATCGTTTGTTTGATGCTGCTTGTTTGGGGTAATGGTGGCAGGGACACAGCTACAGGCTCTCTGGGGGTGGCAGCCCGGCCAGACTCCGGTGTCTGTGGTGCTGCTGCCCGTTTTGGGGGACCCTCCTGAAAAAAAAAAAAGCGGGTGCTGGCTGAAAGCACCCCAAGGAGCCTGGGGCAAAAATCCAAGCTGCTCCTCTCCAGCGGCCTAGGGGCTCCCGAGGGCGAGGCACCGGCCTAGGAAAGGCCCCCCACGCCTGTACCCGAGCCCCGAGCCAGACCCCAACCCCGTGGCGGGAAGGGGGGGGTCT